AATTCTTTGTCACTCATATATTATGACTTCTCTTTTAGTATTAAGTCTGTTCTCTTTTTAGATGTCCCCACATCCTGTATGTATCCTGACAGAAAGTAAATACAGTATCAAGCAGTAAAGCAGTATGTTCCAAAGACATGAAAACACAATTCAAACAAATGTCCAAGGGAGATATACTGGGCTGTAATGAACTAGAATCACAAGGTGCACTTTGTTTGACCTTTATCCTTACATAAAAATTCTATTTACCACTTTCATTATGTTTCCATCATGTGTATGGTACTGCATTCGCTCCCTCTATGATTAATTTAACACCTGAATATTCTTGTAACCAAACACTTCAGAGAAAAAACTGTTCAAACTACATATTTTAAATAATCAGTTATGTTTTTCTCTTTGAGGCTACATCTAGACTGCAAGCTTCTTTCGGAAGAAGCTTTTCCGGAAGAGATCTTCTGGAAAAATCTTTTTTTGAAAGAGAAACACAGCAAAAGCACAATGAAAAAGCAACCTGCTTTTTTGAAAGACAGCATCAATATTGATTGGACCACTGATTTTCTTGTGACGGTATGCACCTTTTTTTGGGAGCACTCACCACACAGCCCCCAGCTGGCCCTGGGATGGGGCAATTAAAGGGGCCACAACCACATTTCGACCGCCCTCACTTTTTTTTTCTTGTTCGACAAGATTCCCCTGGCGTTGGGTTTTTTTCTCTCTCTCTCTCTCTCTCTCTTTCTCTCCGCAACCCTAGTACCGGCTTTTTTTTTTTTTTTTTAAACAAAAAAACAAGCACTGGATTGGATGCTACCTCGCATTTCAGTTGTGATTACTGTGGACAGAGTGGCCACCAGGGCACCTGGGCCTCTTCCTGGAGGCCTCTTCTTTCCAAAAAAACACTCTCTTCCGCATTCACACATGCCTTTTTCCGAAAAAGCTTTTTCAGAAAAATGCTTCTTCCTCATAGAAAGAAGTTTACCACTGTCAGAAAAAACCCTCCATTATTTTGACTTTCTGTCGAAAGAACGCAATAGCAGTATGGCTGTAAGTGTAGTTTTTCCAGAAAAACTTTGCAGTTTAGACATACCCTGAGGCTCAACATTTAGTTTTCTAGCCTCTTTCTCTAACACTCTGCCCCCACCTTGTAAAGGATCAAAATATTAACTTGTGTTAAACCTTGGTGTTGGGAGGATAAATGCATTAGAGACAGTCAGCTTCTTTTGGATTTACTGATGAAAAATGCTATACAAGAGAGAGATATTATTATTACAGAATTTCAGAAGAATACTACCCTTTCACATAGGATGTTGTGAAGCCCAGTGTTTGTGAAGTGCTGAGATACTATGGCTATGAGTATCTCTATAAATTAATTACAAGGAAAATAATTTAGTTTTATCTCAAAAAGAAGATGACTTGGTTCCTGGTCATGAAAATTCTCTACAAAGTCCTTAACCATGGTTGAATCAAACCCAACAGTGCAAACATACTGTTCTTGCTATTATAACAGCTGACTGATTGCTTTTTAAACAATTCTAATGACATGAATATTTTAAATAAATCTGAATAACTGAATATTTTACATTATGTATTCAAAGTATCAGAGGGGTAGCTGTGTTAATCTGAATCTGCAAAAGTGATGAGGAGTCCTGTGGCACCTTATAGACTAACAGATTTATCGGAAAATAAGCTTTCGTGGGCAAAGACCCACTTCATCAGATGGATCTGGAATTTCCACTACTTAATATCACATGCATCTGATGAAGTGGGTCTTTGCCCACGAAAGCTTACGCTCCAATAAATCTGTTAGTCTATAAGTTACCACAGGACTCCTTGTCACTTATGTATTCCAAGGTATCTATGAATATAGCTAGTATAGTAAGTCCATCAGCCAATGACAAATGTAACAACAACACGTAGACTTAAACAAATGCTTAGAACAACAGCTGTCAAATAATTTTATACTTGTTGCAGAACAGCTTTTATTTATTAACCAAATTACTATGCCTGAGAGACATATTCTAGAATACTCTGCCACTTGTAAATAATGCAGCCATCTCACACTCATGCCAATGAAAGCCTTCATACCGCATTATATATACTTTCAATAGATTATGCATGTATCTATAATTTATGTATGCATGCATATAAAAAAGTAAATAAAATATCATTCATAAATCCTCTGAAGTATTTTTGGCTTCTTTTCACAATGCTGTCACCAGTAATTTAATGTTAGTATCCCAATCTGTTCTTTCTCTATTCCGGTCTGTTTTTCATTTGCTGTGTGCGATATCCTCCAGTATAGTGTGAAAAAAGTCATTTTCCTTATTTTCTGAGAACAGACAGAACTCTTAAGTGCAAAACAAAAATTGCCTATCATAGGCGTGCGCAGCACATTTCATTAGGGTGTGCACCCAGGGAATTTTTTTTTAAAGGTGAACATTTATTGAATACTCAATCATAAAGGATATGCTGCAAGCAAATGTGGGCTTTCTATACATTTCTACGTTTGGCGCTTATTGCATAATACAACAATCCATACTTTAAAACTAAAAGAGCACATCATGCAATTAAATTAAAATGCAAAGCTACTTTTTTTTTGGAGACATTAGGGTGTGCCTGCACTCGCCTATGCCTAGTATCACTGGCAACTGGTACTTAGCACTGTATAGATATTGACTAATAAATTCCCATAACACTCCTGTGAGACAGGTGACTAAGCATTACTAGCCTGAATTGATCAGATGGAGAAACTGAAATAGAAAGACGAAGTGACTTGTGCAAGACCACAAAGCAAATCACTGACTATACCAGACATTTTGGACTACATGATTCAGCAGTGTGTTTATTCCTTCAGGAATCAAAGATTTCTAATACCAGCACTTGTGTAAAGATGGTCAAAACAATTGATTCAAAGGAGCTAGCAGGAGCTGTGCATGCATACATTTGATCCACGCTGCAGTTTTAGTTTTGGCATGGTGTTAGAAATGCAAGTAGCAAGCTCTTTGAGGTTGCTAGAAGAATAGTTTGTAACTGCTAAATATTTTATTGTATATTCAGTAAAATATCCACCAGAAAATTAAAAGAAATTAGTACAATGAGTTTTTTTGTCAATGCTTTCAGCTGATAAAACTTTTAAAAAGTCTGACTCTTTTATCAACATCTCCTTGACTTGAAAGATAAAGTCAGATGAGGACATGCTTAAATGAGAAGAGATTTCTCTTAGCTTATGTTCATCCTAGAACCATTGAAAGATAAGGTGAAAGAGACATGGAAACGACTTCTAGTTCATCCCCCTGCACTAAGCCAGGATCAAATATACCTAGAATATCATCACTTGAAATGTTTTGTGTAATATGAGGATGTGTTTAGAAACAGACAATAGAGGTTTTCTGCTTTGATATTTCAAAGACTTAAGGAAGAAAGACTCAAGAGTTTTAACAGAACAGGAGATTCCAAAGGGAAGATGTTGCCATTCAATTATTAGTGATGGAATTAGTGATCTTGAAAGATTTTCACATCACTATGTGAATTTTCCTTTCCTTTTATAGAAATGTTCATTCTTTAAGGGTGAAAATTTTCATAAATATTTCTAGTATTCTTAAAGTGGAAGGGTCTCCATGTGAGGTTTTTCCTGTTTGAGTGGCTTCTGAGTAGTTCCATGTTACTTTAAAAACTGTTTGAGTAGGAATTTGTTGGGGGGGGAGGAGGTATGTTGCAAGATAGGAGAAGCAAAACAAAATTCAGTTTCTGTGATGAGCATCTTAATTTTGGAGTCTTTTTCCATAGTGTTTCGTATTCCCAGTGCCTGCTTGTTTGTTTGCTTTTGTTTTAAAGAATCTTATGTAATAGCAGGTATCCCCCTGATACCTTAATGTAGGTCATGGTGTGTTCCAATAAACATAACAATTTTCTTTGTGAGATGGAACACTTTGCTCTCTGCCATCTTGCCAAAAGAAGCATAAGAAAAGCTCTTCATTATTAATGTGTATATTTTGGTTCTGTTTTGAAGGAAAAAATTTTCACATTTACAAACTATAAAAGAACTATAGTAACATTCAGCATAAACTTTGAGGTATGATACAATTTGAGGCTATTTTTCTTACCCTTCCCTAATAAATTTTGTCAAATGGTAATTATCTCAATGGCTCAACCTTCTGCAATGCATGTATACAGATTATCTAACTCCAGCTATACTAGTTCAGTTAACGTGCCCTCTGAACTGATATATGGCCACTACCCCCTTCTTGCTTTAAATATATCCACCACTTCTATGATGCTGATAGATGCTGATAGTAGTCAATTCATGACACCAAAAAAAAAAAGCAAATAACATGTATAAAAAAGTACATGTTCCTCTTTACGCACTCTACAAGTGTCATTGATCTCCTTAATTTGTAAGTTCTATGGGAGCAAGAACTATCTCTTCATATGTATTTCTACAGCATCTATCATATTGGAGTCCTGATCCTAATTGGGACCCCTGGGCATTATTCAATTTTTTTTTAATCTATGCCCACTGCTTCCAACCCATGTTTGTATCTGGCTGCTCTTAACAAAGTTGAATATTTGGAGCAGACCAAGCTCCATGTGAATTAGAGTATCATCAGAAGTGGGCACCAAAGCATAGAAGAAGAATCCATTGTGAAAACTAGCATCCTGCAACCTCTCCATGTGCAGAATTAATATGGAAATCAATTGAAGTTTCATTCCTGTAGGGCTTGCAGGCCTTAAGGCAGGAATGGGAGGGAAAGTCAAAAGTACACAGAAGCATGAAGCTCCAGTGCTGAGGAACATGTAGTGGTTGGGAGCAATAGTTCTGATCTGTAGCAATAACTAGCGTAACTGCCAAAATGTTATAATAGTTCATTCAGATTTGGCACCATCTAATATATGTCTGCAAGTTTTGCCAAACCTACATTCCTAGCACTAACAGCTTATAAAACTCTTCAATTTCAAACAAAATCCATAAAATTAAGAATTAAACAAAATAGTATTGTACTTACCAACCGTGATAGAAGACTCACAGTGGTAATAGCCATTGGGTTGCTTTTTTTTCAACATGGAGCAAAGATCTAGGCGGTACAGGGTTTCATCTCCAAAACAGTGACTTTTAAAATTCTCATATAGTTTTGGGTCAATTCTTTTCACCTTTAAATATCAAAATCAAATTACATTACTCATTTCACTAGAAGACCAGATTTTCATATTTATTTTCCATATTTCTGTTTGGAATAAATGGTTTTTAGGATGTATTTAGAAATGTAAATAAACAAACATTACACTCTAATGTTCCTGATCTTTTGTCTGACTGAGCTGTGAAGAGGAAAAAGTGGCATCACACCACCTTTATTCCACTCGTCCCTGATCCTGTGCTGGTTATAGTAGTTTTAGAGCAGTCCTAATGTCCAGTGGCTCATAACAGCCCCCAATAGGCCATTACATAACCAGGGATTATTGGCTCAATTCTACTCTCAGGACATTTCCCACTACTGGGAAAATCCCTAATGGCTGTTTAGGAAAGCTTTCCTTGTTCCTTTGGCTCACCTGAGCAGGGTGGTGTCTACACAGTCAAACTAGGCTTGTTGTCCTGTGTGTTAACATTTCTAAACTTTTGTATACTTTTTACATTTAAGCTTACCATTAGAATAAATTTGTCAGGCTTATGAATACAACAGGGCTCTTTCAGTGCATGATTGAAAGGGGGCATTATGTGTCTATGCCTTTGCACAGAGGTGTTACAAAAGGGGGAGGTGATGTTATAGGGTATAGCTGACAAAAAGTAGTGGTTGGTGTTGGACTGTAACAAGGTAGTGTGTGGGGGACAGGAGTGCCAAGTGATACATTTGGCAGCCCTGTGGTACCTGCTGATGTCTCAGATGGATTTTCCCATATGCAGCTAAGATGCATTTGACTGCAGTTGTGCCTTCCAACTGCATGGGGACGCTGTGGCACCTGCTAAGCTTCCTCTCTTGTTGCTTCCTCTTCTGGCTTACTCAGGCAGGAAGAGGTAGTAGTGGTTGCCAGAGGCAACATTACCACTGAAGGTGGGCTGCTTAATATTGGCTCAAAAGTCCCTTATTCTTTGGTTAGCTACATTAGGCTCCACCAATCAGAAACCCATAGCAAACACTCCTCCCCCCCCATATAGCCCAGAATTGCCTGTCAGTTACCCTCTTACCCACTTATCCCAGCCCCAACTGACAAATTTAGTGCAGCTCCACATCTACCTTTACTGTTCGGATTGGGGTGTTTTGACCATAAAGTGAAGTTTATTGTAATATGCAAATTATGTGCAAATTATTTGCAAATAGGCATAGTTAAAAAAAAGCCATAGAAGAGCAACACAAAACTTGGCACTTCTGGTGGGGGTAGGGTTGAGGAAAGGCACTCGTCTTTGGGTGGGTGGGAGGCAGTTGCTTGTATGCTGAAGGCATTTAAAGGCAGTGTCTTTTTATTGAGGTGGGGGGGAGGGTATGGAACAGTGGTCAGTGAAGGAATTGTGGAGTAGTCTTTATCTCTGGCACCTCAGCCTCCCTTTTGGGGTCCTTGGCTGCACCTGCCAGCCAACCAGCACCCTCTTTGCCCTCAGCAACTTGCTTTCCTTGAGAGGCCCAGAGGGAAGAGGAGACAGAATAGCTGAGGCAAAAGAACACTAAGCCACCAGGCAAGGACAGAGAAAGCCACCAGCCTCGCTGCACTGAACACAGGCCCGTGCTGCCACAAGGTACTGAGTGAGCAGGCCCGGACTGCCGGACGCTGCTGCTCTCTGAGGTATGTGGGGGCTGGAGGAGACCTACAGATCACGGCGCTGAATTTATCAGGGGTGGGAGAAGCGAGCCATGGAGCTTACAATATGGTATCTGATGCGTGGTGGGAGAAAGGCAGCATTATCGGGTGGGCCTTCAGTGGACAGTGTGGAGGGAGATAAGTAGGGCCCAGGGGCATCGTATGCTAGAGGCAGGGGGAGGAAGAATGGGCAGAGATACAAATTACAGCTCAGTATCTGTGGGAGGGCCCAGCCCTGACGAGAAGCTGCACTGAGGAAGTACTGAGCAGCTGGTAGGAGAAGGAAAGAGAGGTCGGTTAAGGAGATAAACTCCCAGCCTACAAAGAACTGCCTGGCCTATGTGTGAGGTGGGTAGATACGAAGAGAACTGAGACCTGGGAGAAGGGCCATGTTATGGGGTGGGGGCAGAGAGGGTAACTTATAGACCTTCACTCTGTGCAGGAGTGCTCCTCTGCATGTGCGTGGGATGACCATGATCACCTGGGCTGGTGTGTTGTGAGTTTATATGGAGGGTGGGTTTACAGAATGTGTGTAATTAGCAGTTGTGAGGTGACAGTGTGCCAATGTGCCCAGAAAGGTGTGTCTGCAGAGGTGCTGGAATAATTTTGATAGTGGGGGTGCTGAGTGCCACTGAGCCAAACTATAAACACTGTGTATAATGGAAACCACTTCAACCCCTGTATCCTTAGTCCTAGCACCTGTGTGTGTGTCTATGTATATAGAATGGGCATTTCCATGAGCACTCATGTATATCCATTCACCCAGGTGTCTGAGCAAGCAGATAGGTGCTGACTCTTACTAGCCTTAAATTTCTACAGGGTAGTGTCCGCACCCCAATGCAGTCACAACAGGAAACAAGATCCATTCCTCATTATTATTCATACTAACTAGGAATACTTAAGACCTATTAGAGCCAATCTCTCAGCCCAACCACCCAACTCATTTCTTGGTTCAACCCATCTCCCTGCTCATTGCCCTTTGAAGGGAGAGGATTTTCATGTAGCAGGAGTAGGGGTAGAGAGGAATGATGCAAGCAGCAGAAGGCTGTTGGAAAAGTGGCAGGTGGCCCAGAGAGGGAGAGGAGTGAAGCAGATCAGATGGTGGCTGGGAGGTGGATAAAATGGACATGTGATCAGAATCAGTTGTTATTGGGGAAGGGATTTCTGAAATGTACCAACAAAAATGTCCATTTTCACCAGTAGCACTGCTCTTGGAAGTGGCCAGAATGAGCATGACTGCCTCTCTGAACACCCATTGTGTCCCGCTACCACTGCTTGGGCCTGAACAAGAGGAAGAGCAGGAGCAACCTCAGATATACATGTGTGTGTTGTGGTATGCAGGGCAGCTAGGGATCACTTACTATGACACCGGAGACTGCTCAGTCTACTTCATGCCTGACATGCCTGATAACGAAGACCTCAAGCTGCTGCAAAAAGTAATTGATGAAGTCCTCCCCCAATGCATAGTGACTAGTGCCAAGCAGGATCATAACATCGCCAAATTCCTGACCAATATGGGTACTGCTACTGGCAATGTGGAAAAGCCAGAAATTGTCCTCTTTCCCAATATGGACTTTGGCCTGGAAGTAAGCAAACAGCGAATCCTATCTAGGCAATTTCCTTTTATTCCCTCTCATATGACTGCAACAGAAAAAATCCTCTATTTGTCTTCCATCATTCCCTTCGAGAGCCCACTCATGGTACGAGCACTAGGTGGCTTGTTGAAGTTTCTTGACAAGAGGCGGATCGGAGTTGAACTGGAAGATAGCACCATTGGGGTTCCAATCTTGGCCTTTAAAAAGTTTGTGCTCATGGATATTGTGAATATGGACCAAGATACTTACTGTGTCCTACAGATATTTAAAAGTGAGGTACATCCTTCTGTGTACAAGCTGGCCACTGGGCTGAAAGAAGGACTCAGTTTATTTGGGATTTTGAACTGCTGCAGGTGCAAGTGGGGAGAGAAACTAATGAGGTTGTGGCTCATGCGACCCACCCAGAACCTTACAGAGCTGAACAAACGGCTGGATGTTATCCAGTTCTTCTTGCTGGCTCAGAACCATGAAACAGTCCTGACTCTTCAAGACTGCCTCAAGAATATAAAAAATGTACCTCAGATTCTGAGAAGAATGACTCTTTCACATACAAAGGTCAGTGACTGGCAGGCACTTTATAAAACAGTGTATAATGCGGTGTGCCTCAGAGACACATGCCGTTCTCTGCCTAGCAGCATCGAACTCTTCCAGACCATCTCACAAGTCTTCACCGATGATCTGTATTATATTGCCAGTCTCATCAGCAAAGTGGTAGATTTTGAAGGCAGCATCTCAGAAAACCGTTTCACTGTCAGACCCAATGTGGATCCCACCATTGATGAAAAAAAACGAAAGCTGATGGGTCTCTCAGACTTCCTTACAGAAGTGGCCCGGAAGGAACTGGAGATGCTGGACAATCAGATTCCTTCCTGTTGTGTCATCTACATTCCCTTGATTGGCTTCCTACTTTCCATTCCGCGGCTGCCCACCATGGTGGACAAGAATGACTTTGAGATCGAAGGCCTGGATTTCATGTTCTTGTCAGAAGATAAACTGCATTACAGAAGTGCTAGGACTAAGGAACTAGACAGCATTCTAGGTGACCTGCACTGTGAGATCAGAGACCAGGAAGCACTTATCATGCACCAGATGCAGACAAAGATCTTGGAGAAGTCTGCAGTACTTAACAATGTGATTGAGTACACAGCACACCTAGATGTTCTTCTAGCTCTGGCCGTGATGGCTCGAGAGAATAGCTATAGCCGTCCATGCTTTACCCACCGCCATGGCATCCATATCAAGGATGGCAGGCATCCACTCATGGAGCTATGCGCAAAGACTTTTGTGCCCAATCCTGTGGACAGTGGTGAGGCTAGTGGGCGGATAAAGATCCTTACAGGGCCCAACTCATCTGGGAAAAGTGTATACTTAAAAATGGTGGGACTCATAACATTCATGGCCCTCATTGGTAGCTATGTCCCTGCTGCACAGGCTGAGATTGGGGCTGTTGACGGGATTTACACAAGGATTCACAGCAGGGAATCTGTATCTCTGGGACTCTCCACTTTCATGATTGATCTCAACCAGGTTGCCAAAGCAGTGAACAATGCCACTGAGAGGTCCTTGGTACTTATTGATGAATTTGGCAAAGGGACCAACACAGTGGATGGCCTCTCCCTTCTGGCTGCTGTGCTGAGGCACTGGCTTAACCAGGGAATCCAGTGTCCACAAGTCTTTCTCTCCACGAATTTTCACAGCTTGGTGCAGCTGAAGCTCCTTCCTGACACTCCTCTTGTGCAGTACCTGACAATGGAGACTCACCAAGATGGAAATGAGTTAGTATTCTTCTATCAGCTCAAAGAGGGGGTATCCACCGTTAGTCATGCTGCCAATATTGCTGCATTGGCTGGGATGCCACCCAAAGTAATTGCACGAGGAGTGGAGGTATCAGAGCTTATCCGAAATGGAAAACCCATTAGACGTATTGATCATCCATCCAAAGAGAGCCAGCTGGAGAAATGCAAGTCTCTGGTGGAAAAGTTCCTTTGCTTAGACCTTGATGACCCCCAGATAGACTTAGAGAAGTTCATGAGTCAGGAAGTGCTGCCCTCTGCAGCCTCCATTCTGTAACAGTTTAACCCTAGAAACATGGTATATTTGTTAAAAGTCTCTCTGGCTGTCAAACTAAAAACATTTTTGTAGGAGGGAACTTAAAAGCTCCTTATACTTTGATATTAACAAAGAATAATATCCCTTCCTTGGTGCATTTTCTTCAACCACAAATATGAAATGCTATCCAAGATATAGTTGAAAAATCCCTGGACAAGGAAAATATGTTCTCTGGGGGAGATGGAAATAGCATCAGCCATGAAAAATAATTTCTCTGACCAATGCTCCCACCCCATAATTAATTTTTAATACATATTTATTGTAAAAGTTATGTTTCCTTTTTCCTGTTTCAGATAGGTGTGTCTCCCTACCTGTTTGAGATTTGATGTTTTTTATCTAGTAGTAGTAGAGCATCAGGGCTGGAAGTCAGGGACCTTGGTTTCTCTTTCCCATGTGACCGTGGGATAAAATCTTAACCTCTTTCTATCTGCGTACATAAAATGAGTACATACTAATTTAATTGCTTCAGAGCACATTTTAAGGCTTGAAGGTTTGTAAAGTGCTTTATGGCAATAGATGAAAGGTGCTATAGAAGTACAACACAGTCATTGTGTACAAGATCATAGTTTGGGACCAAACCATGACACATCCTTCCTGAGATAGTAGCACTGTGCGGGTAAAGTGCTCAGTCCCTAATGCAAGAGAATGTGTTGCATCACACTCTAGTGACTCGTCTAGTCACTTCTGGACCACTATCAAGAGGTTGCACAGAAATATGTGTCCTGTTCTCTTAAGCCAGAAAAAAATTGGCATTATGCAAGGCATTAAGAATAAAGATAATAGAGGGGGAAAATGGAGTGATGTCATGGGCTGTAAGAAACTTATTACAACACCACTGATCTTGTCCAGGAAAGTGGCACTCACTATGGCGATTGGTGAAATGGTGGTTTAATAACCTTATAATACATTACTCCTGGGGAACCCCACATTCAAATTCAGCTTATTGTTGGTCACAAGTAGGAGTTTGTGATTTGATCCTTCTTGTTATTGATTGTTTGTCCACATGACATAATAAAGCAATCACGTAATTTATCTTGGACAGTCTCTGCTCAGGAAAAGCTAGTAGCTATCATAAACAGAATGTTGCAGGGCAAAAACAGCATACATTGGCAGAATCATTTAGCACTTTGCTTTGATGAAACAAGAACTGCTCTCTCCCTTTTAGGTTCTATATTATAAGAATACAGACTTATTATTTTGACTTCACTTATTCTGGAAACATACAGAAAGCAAGGGAATTGTAGACTATATTGATAATGTTAGGGAGAGATTAATATTTTAAATTCTCTACAATTTTACATGAAAATTTGAGGGAGGGGAAATTGATGAAACAGAAATTTGCTTTCGTTGCAGTGCAGTGTTTTTTTCCTTTAATGTTTTATATAATTTGCTATCAGTCTACAACATATACAACTACAGCTTAAAAAAAAGAAAATGTACACGGGTGACAAATTAACACAACTGATATAAAACAATGACAGGGATAAATTACAGTAACAAACAGTTACTATTGTTTCCAATGGAATTACAATATGCTCTCTTCAAAACAGTGTGCAGCAACTGTGCAATTAACTTGTCATCAGTGCAGTTAAAGCAAGCATTTACCTTTGGACCTAATTAACTGCTACACTGCAACCTGTACAGTCATTTGGATTAGTATTAATATTATTTAAATACTTCCAATCTGATTGCATTCACTTTCAAATAGTGTCAATGACTATGCAAGCTGTTGAGCAACAGTGAATCGCGCCTTATGCTTTTACTTTTAAAATAGTCTTGCCTTGGGGAGTTTTCATTCTTCTCCAAAATTGTCACATTGAATCTAAAGGGTTAAATTTGATAAACTGACTTCCACTTCCATTAAGTTGTTATGAACTATGTTCTTTCTCTCACCTTAGAAACTGGTGGGGGGATTCCAAAGAGATTTTCTCTCATCTGATTAACTCCAGGTAAATGTAGCAGCTGTTTTTATGCTTAATTAGCTTCTATTCCATTAAACAAAAAGAAATCTGACCTTTTACTTTTTTTGCTGCTTTAATTGTCTGAAGAGTAATCTCTAGAAGAGACTTAACCTATATAGAATTACAGAACTTTCATTTTGGACTCAGTATTTTTCATTATTTTACTACCTTTGAAAAGTAAAAGCTTTTCAAAATTTTTGTTCCTCAAGAATTTCATTCTCTTCTCTTGGAACTATAGAATAGCCAGAGAAAGGGACCATTTTATCAGTTTTCCCAAAATGTAATGTTTAATGAATTTGGTGAGATCATTAGTGTTGGGGTAACTGTTTTTTTTAAGTCAGAAAACCCTAAAATTACAATGACTTCTCTCCTGAATGTTTATAACTACTGAACTGGTACTTCATATTTTAAAATTATTTTTATCTACCAGTTGTTACTTAACAATGCTATATATAAGCTCTATCATAACCTTTATCCATTTTTCACTGTTACTTGTAATGCTATATGCTAATAGGAAATATACATAAAATTGTTTAAACAATAAGAAACAAAGAATGATAGTAAATGCTGCTGCTTACAATGGAGAGAACTTTGAGCAGGAAACATCCCAATTAAAAGTGTTTCCCATTATTCAATATCAGTCTCCTATGGTATTTTTCTATGGTATATCACTTAATATCTAAGCCACTAGTATATTTATTATTTAGTGTTCTGGAAAAGTAATGTGCATTAGGATGACAGTAATTTTATTCTGTTATTAATAGCTATGGAGATCAACACATTAGTGTACTGAACAGCATTATGAAACCTGAAATGTAATGTAGATAAATGTAAAATAATTCATATGACCCAAATGACCTCTGACGTTAAAATAAATAACAAAATTAGACATAATTGAGTAAGCATTGAAGATCTCTCTGCAGTGGTACAACTTTTACAGCGTTAAGTGCTATGCCAGCCAGAACTTATGTCCTGAAATCGTTAGTTCCTTCCTAGATTTCATAGATTGTATTTATGTTCTTCAAGTACGGTGGCATATCGATAAAGTTGTATATTTTTAAAACTTTACAGTGAAAGATTTTACTCAATTAAACTATTTAATTTTCTGCTTAAGCATTTTTATACCTGTTGGGAGTACTCCCAAAGTTGTTTGTGAACATTTCCCACCAATATACTTTATCAAAATAAAACACTTTAGCTTGTTGTGCTTAAATTTTAAATGTCAAAAGCTCCTTTTTCTTCTCATACAAAATTTTGACAAATATGTGAGATCCAGGAATAATTTCACTTATGAATGTCAAATAAAAGGTTGGTAGATTCACCTAGCATGCTACATAGGGGCAGAAAAAATAGTTGTGTGGAAATTTAACAATAGGAACAGGAGAGCAATAAGAAACTTGGATAGAGTAGTTATTGTGGGTCATCTTTTTGTGTGGTGTGATCATTTTTATGTTTTTTCTCTTTCTTACCATTACTGCAATGTACCTTTATTGATGCACTATTAATAATAATAATGATTCTTAGCTCATATGTTAAACAAGCTAGTATGGAGTTTTGTGTGAGTAAAGCTAGTAATATTAACCTTAAGAGAGTAATTAAGAGGACGTGTCATATCTCTTTCCTTGTTCTTCTGGAATTCAGCATAGTATATGCAGTAAAAAGAGAGGTCACAATTTGCATTCTTTGCATAATCCAGCTATGAATTATGATCTTTGTTTCAAAACTGGTCTTTTCTGCCATCCACTGTCAACAGGAAACAATCCAAACAAATCACTGTTTCATCTGCACACATGCAGCATAATTTTTTTTCAGAACATTATCTGTATCCTGATGTACATGCTATCGTTAAAAACTGGGTATCCATAAGCACTAACTCCTGCCTGCCCCCAGTGTATAAACATGTAACCACTAAAAATTTCAGCAGTTACACATTTACACAAACACACGGTTATTAAAACTAGTTCCTAGTTAAAACTTCCACTTCTTTCATGTGGTAAACAGGTGATGGAAGAAGAAAGAAAAACAACCTTTTTATCTTATAGGTAAAACTTGAGTCTTAAGCCATGATATAGTAAAGTATTTAAGGATGTCCTTAAGTCTTTTGATGAATCAGGACCTCAGTAGATGGACCATGCAAACAAACTATTGGTCTAACATGGAAAGTTGTAGCTGAAGAATTTCATACCTTTATATTAGTGATAGAAATGTAGCCTTTATATTGTTCCACATACATATTACTATAATTGGATTGCTTGGAAATGCCTTTATTTATGATAGAGCATCTTTTGTTGAAGTTAACACCCTGATGACACAATAATGCTTAACATATCCTCCACCCCACATGAACTGTAACTGACTTTCCAAATGGACTACTCATACAATTCAGTGTCCTGCCATTATAAATTAAACTTCACACAGACAGTAATTATTGTACTAGGTTTAGAAGACAAAAAAATCCTGACTTATCAAGACCACCTCAAAAGATGGGACAAATACAGCTAAGATTTGTACACTGTATCAGCAAATAACAGTGATTAAATTTTGGAATTAGAAAAGTTATTTCAAATACATGTTTCTAAGCACATTTACTACAAACTATAAAATCAATTTAGCTACACCATTCATATTGTTTCTGTCTATATCGCAGTAAAGCAATTGCTTTTCCAGCTAACCAAAGACAAAAAAAGTAACATTTAATTCAGTATAACTGAATGTGTTCTAAAAACTCAGTTCAAGCAAAGCAAATATTTATTACTTAACACTTACAAAATATCCCAGATGAAACCCTGGCTCAACTGAAGCCAGTACAGATTCTGTCATTGACTTCAATGAGCCCAGGATCTCACATCAGCTTTATTGCAATGGCTCCCAACCCCCCTTTGTTTTTCTTTTTCTTTTTTCCAGTAAGCTTCAGAGAAAATTAACTCGGTGGGTGAGTGGGTGGGTGGAAGGGGAAAGAAGTTTGTTCAAAAGTACAAAAAAGAATATGTCAGAAAGTCCAGAACTAGCTGGATTTCACATAATTTGCAATGAACAAATGAATATCTCATTTACACTTTCAAAAGTTGAGATTAAGAGCAGATATTTTGAAGCATTGTCCTCTGCATCAATTCTTTATCTGAAAATATAGAGTTAAAATATCTTGCCATTATGGCCGATCATCAATTGCTGTTCCTTGGTTCATGCAGAAAGTTGTTTGCCTTTTTTGTTTTCCCAAGAGAATGGAAAGTGGAATGCCTGTACTGGGAGAGGATAATGCAGTTGCAAGAAAAACAGGAGGACCTCCCGTTAAGCCTCCCTTAAAAGACAGCCTGAAAGATGATATGATCTGTCAGCTCATATTCTTTTAAATGCACTTCATTCCACGGTCAGCAACTTTTCATGCTGAACAATAAATTTCCATACAATTCAAACCTCTTTATTTAAGGTATGCTGGATCAATACTCTAGACAATAACAGTAATCTTTAGATTCTTTTGCAAGAAAAAATAGACAATTGTTATCAAGAATAGTCTTTTGAAATACAATTCAGGACAAAAGGTTATACTTTTTTCATAAAAGACTAATCATTTAAAATCTTACCAGTCTACCTGGTTACAAAGAAGTCAAACCTGGACTGCACTAGAATATGGCTCAAGTAAACCTGATGTACTTTCCCTGCCTTTTCTGAAATAAACATTTTAGATGGCTGCTGTTATGTTGCATGAAATGTAAGCTTACCTGCTTACGTAGCTTTGGTGATTTTGACAGCTTCATGAAGGTCAAGTGAGGTTTTAAAGCTCTGTTTTCTCCTGCCAAGAGTCCCTTTTTCTGAAATATCTTTTTCATTGTCTCTGGAAAAGGAAAAATGCAGAGGCACTAAGATACCAAATACTGTGTATTCTTAAAAATGTGCTTTCAATTGTAATATGAGTCACATCCATCCCACATGAAAAGTGAAGATAATCAATAAGGGAAAGACAACTTTCTGATTCCTTTCAAAGTTGCATGTTACATCTGAACAGATCAATCTGATAGTTGCAGCTGATCTGGGACACATTGCTTTATTTAAAAAGAAATCATTGGCAGTCTAAACCAATCAATATCCAGTCTAAAATCTGTTCTTCCTACCATAATTGTACCTTTACATTTACATTGTTCCAGAACCACAATGGTTGAAAATGGTTTTCTGGACTTCACTAAACACAGGAAACCAATTCTGAGTCAAATTCTATGGTCCTAATTTGAATGAAATTCCAATTTCTGGTCAAGAGAGTTTTGCTTAATAATCACCAAATGTAGCCTAAGTGTAGATTGAGAATAGATCAAATGTGATGTATATCTTCACTGCCTCATAATTAATTAAAAATAAACAAAAAGGAAACATCTGCCAGTTGCCTTTCTTATGCCTATGTAAAGTGGAAAGTTCAACTGACTGGGAAGACTAAAACTTTTTGCTTGTGGCAATTTTCCTACAAAGGAGGTCAGGCCTTTTACATTGATTTCTCTTACTTCTTCGGAATCCACCTACTTAGAACAATATATACGTATTCAACTCACTGGAAGTCAATTCATCACAACTAAAATTGACACTAATGAAATCTATCATAGTGATCTTGTACCCTATTAGATCAGATACTATCTTTAGCCCATTTGAATACTACATGGAGTGGATGGAACTGTGTGTACTAGGGCATATCTACACTAGTGCACTCATTAAAGTTAATATGAATCAACTAAATATATAATGTCAATGTGCATTAGCTAAAGCATGCTAATCTCCCATGTGGATGTTCTCACTTAGTATTAGAGTGGTCTTATTTTGCTGCAACTTAATCCTCCTCATAATTTTTTTTTAAATACTCTCTGAAATTGTACCTTAGAAAATTAAAACTAAAAGTTGTTTCCCAGATAATGTTTTTATAAATAAACTAAACAGGTTAAAGTTTTGTATTTTTACAAGTTTCTCTGGGGTAGCCGCGTTAATCTGTATCTCCAAAAACAATGAGGAGTCGTGTGGCACCTTAAAGACTAACATATTTATTTGGGTATAAGCTTTTGTGGGTAAAAATCACTTCATCAGCTGCATTGGAGTGGAAATTACAGAAGCAGGAATATATACATGTACTAGTATATCAAAAGAAGAGAGTTACTTATTAAGTGTAGGACCAGTGTTAGTGAGGCTAATTCAGTCAGGGTGGACTCACTCCCAGCAGTTGATGGGGAGGCATGAATACCAAGAGAGTGAAAATTGCCTTTATATTAAGATAACCGTCTTAAATTCTTATTCAGTCCTAATTTGAACATATTGAATTTGCATAAGAATTGCAGCTCTGCTGTTTCTTTTTGTAGGTTGGCTACTTTTAAATGCAGTATTGAGTGTCCAGGGATGTTGAAGTGTTCTCCTACTGGTTTTTGTGTGTTACCTTTTTTGATGTCTGATTCGTGTCTATTTATCCATTGGCATAGAGACTATCCGGTTAGGTCAATATACATGGCAGAAGGGCATTACCGGCACATAATAGCACATATCACGTTAGTTGATGTGCAGGTGAATGAGCCCCTGATGATGTGGCTTATGTGATTAGGTCCCATAATGATGTAGAAATGTGCTTTTATATATACTCATTGACTTCCCACTTTTAGTTGATTTTCGTTAACTTTTCTGGGCGTTTATGTTCAGCATTTGTGTCTGTAGACAAGTCCTTAAGAGTTCTTAATAGGACGACTCGCAGTATATAAAGTTAAGCATGTGCTTAAACTTTCATAGAATTAAGTTGTAATGGGGCACTGTTAAATTTTAATTTAAATCCCTGTTTACAGTATGTTGTAAAGAAAATCCTCTGGATTTGAAAAGACGTAACCTACATTATCTTTCATATCCTATAACTGAGTATTTCCCCCAAGGACACTGAAAAAATTCACAACTAGAACTAAAAACTAGCCTATTTATAATATTAATTAGGAAACAAATTTTATTTAAGTTTCTAAGATATAATTACATAGTGTATTTTAAACTTAAATGATGAAAAATATATTTTCCCTACCATATTTTTTTCAGTTTATTAAAAGAAGATCTACCTGTAAGTAGTTGTCATTTGGCCATATGTTTAAAATATAGGTCCTGATCTTGCAATTATGCATGTGTTGTGATATGCCTATGAGTAGATTAATTTGAGTTCAACAAGACTATTCAAGTACTAAGTTATGCACATGTTTCAGTGTTTGTTGTACAGGGCCCATATGTAATAACAAATCTTTACCAAAATGGTGATACAAATGTAGCCGTGTTAGTCTGGTGTAGCTGAAACAAAATACAGGACTATGTAGCACTTTAAAGACTAACAAGATGGTTTATTAGATGATGAGCTTTCGTGGGCCAGACCCACTTCCTCAGATCAAATAGTGGAAGAAAATAGTCACAACCATATATACCAAAGGATACAATTAAAAAAAAAAGAACACATATGAAAAGGACAAATCAAATTTCAGAACAGAAGGGGGATGCGGGAGGGGGGAAGGTAAATGTCTGTGAGCTAATGGTATTAGAGGTGATAATTGGGGAAGCTATCTTTGTAATGGGTAAGATATCTTTGTTGAGACCCACGCATAGAGTGTCGAATTTTAGCATGAATGACAGTTCAGAGGATTCCCTTCCCCCGCATCCCCCTTCTGTTCTGAAATTTGATTTGTCCTTTTCATATGTGTTCTTTTTTTTTAATTGTATCCTTTGGTATATATGGTTGTGACTATTTTCTTCCACTATTTGATCTGAGGAAGTGGGTCTGGCCCACGAAAGCTCATCATCTAATAAACCATCTTGTTAGTCTTTAAAGTGCTACATAGTCCTGTCTTTACCAAAATGTTTTTTTTTATTGCATTGTTTGTTTTAGGGTTACCTTTGAGTGGTTTCAGCCTTTTAAACCAAAAAATAAACCAGAGTAATTACATTTCTTTAAAGAATATGTAGGGGTCAATCCTATAATTATTTCTGTGGCCATCAAGGGTTCTTGTAGCAGAACTAATAAGAGGGAGGATTGTTGGAGGAGTGGGTGCACCTCCTACATTGTGTGGAGCAGAATTTTAGGGTGGTTCCCAGCACATTAAGGCACTAAGGATAGGAAGGGCACGGTAGACTAGAAGATTCACTCTTATGTAGGTCCTCCCATATCTGCAGAGGGGAAACATCAGGGTTCGGTGACCTATCCTATTGTATACTCAAGGCTGTAACAGTGATTGAAGAGTGGCTCTGTAGAGCAGATTCCCAATCTATGGAAGTGAATCACTCTCTATTCTCTCATGAGTTTCCATCTTGGCTATTCCGGCGGTAAAACAGGGTTGAAGATTTTCCCCAGAGAGTAACATTTTATAACAGAAAAGAGAGAACATGTGAACATTCTAAATCTGAGTATGGTTTTATTTACTTTCAAGACTAATGCCTCCCCCCACCCCACAAATCTTTCGAGACTGGATTCTGTTCCCATTGAAGTCAACGGCAAAACTCCCATTGACTTTAATGGGAGCAGGATCCAGATCTATTTTTGTAGCAGCCAAAAGTAACTAACAAACTCCAGAAGTTCTGTTGGCATCAGAGGAAATATTTATAAAAAAAGAGAGAAAAAAAAATTCTTGTCCTTTTTTTGACCAACTTTAAACTCACAGATCCCAACTACGTGTGATACAGAAGTTAGGTCAGATGAAAGGAAAATAAAACTAAAATTTCATCCACTCATTTTCAACAGTGCTTATCCTAATCGTGAATATATAGATGCATTCAATAGCATATTTTTAATGTTTCATAGTGTAAATTAATGCTCCTAGGTTCTATTTCCAGCGCTGCCACCAACCAGCTGTGTGACCTTGGGCAAGTCACTGCTTCTTTCTGTGCTTTACTCTCTGCTCCTATCCATTGTCTGGTCTATTTTGATTGTAAGCTCCTAAAGCATTTTGAGATTTACTGATGAAAGTACTATATAAGAATTGGGTATTGTATTTTTATGGTATAACATTTTTTTCTCTTCTCTTTCTCTCTGTTCTATCTGTGAATCACTTGTGTCTCACTTGAGGCTGGCCCACTCCTCTGGAATGAATTTAATCCTGAAAAAGGGAAACTAATAGCCGAGATGTGTCCATTAGTTTAAAATATACTCCAAAAATGTACATTTGTTTTCAATCCTTAGTCCTTTTGTCTAATTGAATTTATGTAAGGAAGACTGCAATATTTTTCCTGTATTTAGAGAAGCAAGGTTTAGAAACATGGCTATGTGTCAAAAGTTTTTCCATTAAAGTACCAATTTAACATACTGAAGTTACAAGCAGACTGAATTTTGGCCCTTTAAAACATAAAAACAACTCAGTTTAAACTATTTTTCTTATTAATACAGCAACTGGAGATTAATACGTCAGCACCAACATTAGCGTTTCTAGCTGTTCAGCTAATGTTACAATACTGTAAATGGGATGTACCATTTACTTATGGTAGCAGGTGCATTCTAATGAGATGGACATATTCAGTGTGAGATTTGTTTGCATGTGTGAGATCCATAGGCATGTCACTGTTTGCTCTGTTTAAAGTGCCAGATATTTATGAATATGTTTTACCTATTTCTACATTTGAAACAATGTTTTATATGTCCTTGTGGGACATGCATTTGAGGAATTATGCTCTGTGGTCCTGCCATGGATTATATATAGCTGTCCAGGCAAATGTCAGTGATCATCAGATTAGCACATCAGAAACTGACTATTAAAAATAAGTGTTTGATGCTACTTCTGATTTAGATATATATGTTCAAAACCATGCAGTTGGTAACTTTATTCATGGGATTCCAAGCATCCTCAGATTTTTCTTTGT